CATAAACATTACATCTGCCCATACATCCTCATTTCCCTGCTTGTACCCATGACTGATTATTATTAACTTGAATATAAATAGCTCCACTGCTCAACTGCAAAGCAAATTCAGGCTGGCAGCCTCTCCTGAAGTGCCTTTACCCATGAGATGCTCTCCTCCTTCCAAAAGGAGATAAGAATCTCTCTGGGTTTGGGGTTTGATTGTTGCTAACATGACAACAGACAGCTGTCGCTTGCTGCTTAGGAACCAGCTCACTTGAGAAGAGTTTGAATGTAATGCTCTTGACCTCGAGGTTCACATTTTACTTGAGCAAAGTAAACAATGAATTGGAGAAGCCAATGAACGCTTTGCCTTTGGGAGCGATTTCAAGCATTTCTGGGAGCCAGTCAGTCTCCATGGTTTGCATTATTATTTTACACTTTCACTGCTTTCCTCCTTCTCCCTCCCCTCACCCTGCTCTGGAATTGGATATTTTTCATTTATTTATTTATTTGCTTTGGTTTAAATCCAGTTGTCTTTCTTTTGCTGCAAGGATCCAATAAAATATTAGCACAGGGAATCAGTATTCCAGCCTGGATTTCATTTGTCTCATTGCTTTTTCTATTAAAAATCAGGCTGGCTTGTGTGGTACCGTTTATAAACACCCTGCAAAGTGCTTCCCCACCCACTATCACCCTTCTAGTGGAATCAAGCTTGAGTGTTTAGATCCATTTCGCAGTTTTCTTAACTGCTTTTGTTTGGATTGGGCTGGTTTGTCCTTTCCTGTCACATGTAATTTCTGTTAAGATGGCTCATTTTTCTTAGTGGTAAATGGAATTGCAGAAAACAGATAAGTTCTCTTGTTCTTTTCCTCCGATGAATCATCCTGCCTTCCTTTTTGCATCATATTTGCTCTCCAGGTTTACTGTAGCCTTAGCTCCACAATAAATACTTTTGCAGGCACCATGCTCTGTAAATCTAACCCAAAGAACTGCAAGCTTTAAAAGAGCTCTGTCAATTCATGCATTTTCCTTCACCTTCACTTCTGTAGCTGATGCAGTAGCACTTGAGATGATGCTCTGCGTTGTATATTTGAGCTCTTTACATAATTTTAGTAAATGTATGGAAAAGACAATGATGCTGCAGCATTATGTTGCTATGGCCAAATTATGTATGTAAAATTCAGAGTACTAGTATGAACAACAGGGTATCCCTGTAGGTAAACTACAAGACTAGGAATACATCTACACTGTTGTGACTGAAGTATACAACAGGCATTCATAAATTACTCTTAAACCAGCTAGTTCAGCTAGCCAGGGTTTGACAACTGCCAGCTAGTGGCAATTGTCAAACCATGGCAACATAGAGCTCACCACAGGCTGCAAACCCCATCTACAGTGCATAATTCTTGTGTGGTTAGCCTGTATTAAGCACTTTTCTGCCGTAGCTAAATTATTGCTTGTACCCAACCTAACTAGTTTGGAGCTTACTTGGGTATGTTTATATTATTCTGTAATCACTTCAGTGTAGACACACTTTCAACATCTGTATAGCAAATGCATACAGGAGATAGCTCAATCCATCTGCAAAGCGCAGAAACAAGCCTCTAACATTTGGCTTTTGTGTGTACAAAAGGGAAACTGGCTTTTCACAAAATAGGTCCTACATATTCATTGACCAGCAATTAAAAGTCTAAGAGGAACATAGGCCCTCATTGTGATTTCACTTTTCCTAATGTAAATGTAGGAGTAATTCCACTGAAGTCTGTGAAGTTGCACCTGACATAAAACTGAAATAAGTGAGAAGGGAACAAGGCCCAGAGGCAAGGTGATGACATAGTTATTCATTGTTGTAATTTATTTGTATTGTGGCCCCACCAAGGAGCCACAGTTATGAACTGGGATTCTTTTTTGCCAGGACTTGTTCAAATACAGAACAAAAAGACCATCCTACCCCAAGAAGTTTACAACCTAAGTACAATTACTAGAAAGTACATAACAATCAGAACTGGATCTTGCTTGAAGCTTCTATGCTTCTTGTTGCTGGAATTTTCAAACAAGTAGGTATAGGGCACCTAACTCACTTAGGTTACTTTGTACCTCCCATCCTGCTTAATGTATTACCATTAGACAGTTTGGAAAAGGAAACTAGGTTAGTCAGTTTCATTTAATCTCTCTCATCAGTTTCATTTTCCAGTTCACATTCCCTACTACGGGTCTGTCGTCATTAGGGGTTTACAGCACTGCAGGGAAAGGCTGAACACCATTAAAAAACTTATTAACTAAAACCAAAAAATCATAGAGGCATTTCTTTTTATGTCAGGTTTTGTATCTCCCCACCTTCTCATTATTTTTTTAAATAAAATCCAAATCTATGTCTGGAACAAATTGATCATGTCCTTTTAATTCTGGAAGCTGAGTAACATTTTCTGTCAGGTCAGCCTTTGAAATGGTTAAGAATGGTTAGCCCTGCTGCTGTTTCTGCTATTACTGCTGTCTGTAACTATCAGTTGGGCCTGAGCCAGCACAGCCTGGTATATTCCTTGGTGGAATTTCATGAGGGATACGCACCATTTGCTCCAAGGGGAGAGTTATTTTACATCATCACTTTAATAAAAACCATCTTAGTGATATGAGCCAATGAGATGGGGCTAGGGTCAGATCAGAAGGCTTTCTGACCAAACCCTGACTGCATCTGCACTAAAAAAATTGCCTGAATTGGTTTAAAAAGGCCTCTGGAAATCTCAGGCTGCCAGCTATTTGGTAAGTAGCATAAGGATAATTGGAAAGTGCCAGATCCTCACTGCCTGTTAAACTTCTGTCTTGCTCTTGCCTGGGACTTCTGTGCTCCTGCATGGTCCCTGCACCTGCCCCCAAAGTGAGCAGGGCTCTGTTTCTGAGTTTCTGGATGTTCTTATCTGGCCCTGTTGGAAGTGGAAGAAATGGGAATACAGCTATCTTCACTTTATATTTTTGCTGGTTGAAAACTGAAACTGGGCAGTTGCAGAAACTTGTCCATGAAGATTAGCTCTGGTGAATAAGTGCCTTCCCTTCTCCTCCAATTGGAGAGGGGAGGGTTGTTCCACCCCTTCAGTGGAAAGAATGAAGCAGCCTTCAGAGCAGTGACTTGCAGCAAACCAGTAGTGTAATTTGGGGAGTGATGAAGGTTGAGTGAGGCACAAGCCCGGGGCACTGATTCAGAGGGAGCACATGAATAGCAGCCTGCAGGGAGTCAGTGCCACCATGCCAGCAGCCCATGTTTAGGGAGCTTGCACTGAGGCAGCAGCAGCTCATGCCACTGTTACTGCCACAGCAGCAGTGGCCCTTGTGTGAGGAGGTAAGGGCTTTCTCCCCGCACATGTACTGCACAGGGTCATACCTCTGTAGCAGACCTCTGGAGCCATTTCACCAGCCCAGAATAGATGGGACACACTGCACTCTGTGCAGCACAGGGGACAAGCAAAGCTAGTTCAGAGGCAGCTATGAAGAATGTATGCCATCTATGGATTTTTCAGAAACCAAGGAAGCCCCACTATCCTGCTGGATCCATTTTCTAGCTGCTTTGAATATGACAAGCCACTGTTTTGGCCCATAGCAAATATCAACCCTACATATCTTCCAGATCTTGCTAGGTTGCAGGAGGGCAGATGTGACTCACTTTTATTGAACGTTACTTTTTATAAAGAACAACCTCTTTCACTCCTGGATTTTCTTGGCAAACGTGAAGCAAGCCCTGGTCTCCTTGGCATCCTATTAATGAGCTATCATGAACAGAGCAAACGCCAGATCACTCATTGTTCCTCATTGTGTAAGGCTGAGAACAGCAGAAGACAGGGTGTGGGAGAGATTATTCCACAAGACTGAAGTGAAGTTTTGGAGGTCGGATGTCTGTGGCACAAAGGAATTAACTGGAATGTTATTGTTATTGGAGAGAGGCTGAACAGACTTCTCAGGTACCACCCCCACCCCATACTTCACAGCAGCGTCTCACCTTATCCCTGTACAGGGAGAAAGTAGAAGCTCACAGGGTCCGTAAGGACCCAGAAATCCATAAGAGGAAATGGGGAGAGGAGGGTCCTACAGTTCTCCAGGCTTCAGTCTGAAATATGCTTAGACTTTGTTTCCCTCTTCCCCACCTCCCTGGTGGCACCATGGCTGGGTAGAAACTGGGAAAAAGGCATGCATCTATTGACTTACATAACTCCCTTTGGGAACCATTCAGTAGCTGGTTCCCATTGTGCAGTTTGAAAGAGAGGTACATAGGCCTAACTGTTGCATATAATGAAGTCTGAATCAAATTCAGAGCCAGGGACCTTTGTGCAGACAGGACCACTGTGGTCCTCTGAAAACCACTACGCAGCCCTACCCAGGCAGTACTTCATCAGTACCTCAGTAATGCCATCCTCTTCTGTGCTACCTGGTAGGTTTTAGGGATTTTTCACAGCAGTATGTAGGTACAAAGCCAAGCACAGTGGAACTTCAGTTGACTTAGAGCCTTTAGTTGCTGCTGTTACAAATAATATATAATAAATCTCTGGTAATGAGAACAAGGCATAAAGGATATTGAACCCCACATTGCTAAGAAAGTCAAGTCAAATCCTGCAGTGGTTTGTAACTATAATTTTTACATCTGGGGCAGCAGCTGCCCGGCTGCAACTTCCCTCCCACCTGGAGTGGTGCAGCAGGGGCAGGACCAGGAGGAGGAGATGCTGTTGGAGGTGAGGGTTGCTAAGCAGCACCCAGACAGCTGCAGCCACACTGGGAGCAACCCTACCAGAGGCTATATGCACTGGCTGGGGCTGGGGCTGGGACTAGGGTCCAGACTGGTGCCAGCAGGCACAAACAAGAGTGCAGTGATGGCTGCCCTGGGCCAAGCTCAACCCCATGCAAACTGCCACAGGGGCAGCCACAGGCCAGATCCAATCAATGGAAGGGATCCCCCCATGGGCCAGATCCAATCAAGTGGTAGGCCAGATTTGGCCCACAAACCATATTTTCTTCATCCCTGCTTTACATACACACCTGGAAGCTATAGGGATGGACTTTGGGCTGTTCAGTTAGAACCAAGGACCAGACTTTCCCTGATAAAAAGGTATTTAGATCCAGCTTTCAGTCATCTGCAAAATTAAAAACACATTGTTATTAATTGTTAATCAGTACCTGTCTCTAGCCAGTTTAGTCCCAAACTGCTGGTGTTATCACTAAAAGACTATAGCAGGAAAAAATGTCATGGACTAGGGGAACAGCTGCTGCATGAGGCTGAGTGTAGTGGTTCAGTCTAGCCCTGTGTTGTTAGGTACCTCCACTCTTCTCAATCAGTTCATTTTTACTGATCAAAGAGAGCATCATTTTCAAAGAGAGGATTGAATTGTGCCTTGCAGTGCAAAATGGATAAGGTTCAGGTGGCCACCTGTGCATATGGAACCTGATGGTTTGAAAGGTGAGTTCAGGTTTTTATAAACTATTAACTATTAACTTTTTTAACTGTTTAAACTATTAACTGTTGTAATTTAGACATCCCTACCGGGGGGTCTGATGTTGTTTCAGCGAGATGAATAGCAAAACGTAAGTTCAGTGCAGCAAGATCAGACTTCATTTTGAGAGCCTGCATCTTCATTCCCTTGCACTTGCATGTTGGCACCTACTTCAGTGTACATTAAGAGTGAAATGCTATCAGTGGTGTGAGTGTGCTTCAGTAGCATTTAGTATTTGCTTTATCTAGGCGTATGGTTGTGTTATCAGTCTGGATAACAAGGGACTGTGTGAAATAATGAGCACGAATGAGGGGAAGACAGAAGGGACTGGTGCTCATCCTCAGAAATCCCTCTGCACATTTTGTGGGGTATGATTTGAAAGAGATGTAATGAACAGTCCACAGGGTCTCTTGTATCCTGTTCCAAAGAGAAACGTAGACTGACAAATCGCACAGGGAGAGGGCACTAGTGCCATACAAACACCAAGGCAAAAATGTATCAGTTTATACTAGTAGAGGGCCTGTTACATATTAGTCAATGAGCCATTGCCACCCTTCAACCACTGCCATCCATACAGGGCAGACTTTCACAGTCTGGTGCTTGAACCCCCTAACACTGCATTCTGATTCCTAATCCTGCAATACAGTGGAGATGCCTGAGTCACTTTATAATGACTCCCTGTGTACAGTGCCACCAGAACTGCCTTTAATTCTAACATTGCTGAATCTTCCAGCTTAATAGCAACAGGGTGACCCCTATGGACCATCTGTAGACCTGCTGCTCTACAGATAAACATCTCTTTGCCACCAGTTCACCCTGGCATTTATTTTCCACTAGCAGATCATTATCTGGGAAGAACGTATAATATTATTAACAGTCTTGCTTAAGTATTTCAAACCATGAGGAAGTGGAGACATATGGCTATATAGGTGTAACCTTTCTCCTGAGCACCTGTCAGCAGCAACAAAGGTCGGGTTCAATTTCAGGGATACTAAATATATTTTACCTTGGCTTGAGCCCCAACCCAGTCTACCTGGGAAACACTAGATAAAACATTGGGTGTCCAATAAATCAACCACCCTTCTGTCACTCTTCTCCTACAAGCAGTGTAAACACAAAAACCAAATTTATTACAAAGCATAAAGAAAAAACAAAAGTAAACACTTACTATAATTTTAAAAAACTACAAACTACAAAACAAAGTCTATAGGTGGCACCCTCCGTGGGGGGGTGTTTACCCATACCCAGGCAGTCTGGGACTTAGGACTCCCCAAAGGGTAGTTCTGGGGGTTTGCACCCCTATACCAGCTCTTCAGCAATGGGCTGGAAAGGGGGGCCCACACTGGAGAGTCCAGTGAGCTGCTCCATGGGTCCACTGAGCTGCAGGGAGCTGCTAGAGAACATAGGTCCTTCTACACTGCAAAGGGTCCCCCGTTACTTCCTGAAAAACTGTTGCGCTGATCCTTAGTTGCACATGGTGGATTTGAGGGGTGAACAGCAGTTTTCCTCAGCACATTGCACCCAAAGTTTTTAGTCCTAATCCTAGCTCTGCTGGGGCAGGAAACTGCAAGAGAACTCAGAGAAAACCCATCCTAACAGCAAAAGAGCCTGACCAGCAACCAGCACCAACTGCACTGCATTAGTCAGGACACAGAGCCACAAAAGCAACATGTGCTAGGTCCAAAATGTGCCAGGCCCAGATGCACAGCAAACAAACGTACAGTAGGGCTCAGCAATACAGCTATGCTGAGACACAACCACTGTAAAACAAAAAAAGGGGGACTCAGGCCTGTCCTGCACCCGGGCCTGAATGCCAGGCCTACCTGGCTGTGGCCTGGACATATAGCCTCAGTCACACTGCTAAGCTGAGACCTAATAGCTAGGAAATAACAAAACAGGGGGCCAGGCATATTTTGGCTTGAGCCTGAACTAGAACTAGCGCCCAACCATTCCACTTAGTTAGGGCACAAACTGCAAAAGGCATAAAAGAAGGCCCACCCTATTTCACTGGGGCTGGACCAGGCAGCAGAAAGCCAGCCAGGTCTATATACTAGGGGTGTGCGAAGTGGGCCCTATTTGATTCAGATTCAGCCCAAATCAAGAACAGTGATTCGATTCGTTGGTTTGGATCACTATGCCTGATTTGATTAGGCCAAGTCCGAATCTGAAGATTCAATACTGATTCAGAGAATCAGCGATTCAGACATAGATACAGCTTTAAAAGTTTTTTCTACATACCTCGAGGTACCAGCACTGCTTATGAACACTGTGATGCTGGCACGAATGGAGCATCCCACAGGAGCGCGGGGGGCCCCCCCACATGCTCAACGGCAAACCTGGAAGTGGAGCAGAAGTACTTCCGGTGCACCTCTGGGTCTGCTGGGCAGTGCATGGGGGGACCCCCCATGTCCCCCCAGCTTGGCAATTGGCTGCAGGGGGACCCCAGGTGCCCACCCCCCCAGACCCAGGAGGCACCAGTCACCAAACCAGGGAGACATGGGGGTCCCCCAGCATGATCCCCAGCAGACCTGGATGTGGACCGGAAGTGCTCTTGGTCCACTTCCAGGTCTGCTGCCGAATGCACTGGGGAGCCCCCCCATGTCTGGTTCGATTTGGAGATATTAAAGAGTCCTCTGATTCGGTTTGGATTCAGAGATTCAGTCACCGAATCGAATCAGGGACCAAAGCTTCACACAGCCCTACTATACACCACTGAGGCCTGAATAAGCAACAAGAAGTGTCAGGGCTTCACCCTTACCCAAATCTGCCAGCCAACATATGGGTGGGGTTCAGCCCTATAATAGTGGGCTGAAATGCAGTATCTGATAAACAGCAAACGGGCCCAGGCTTATGGCTGCAACCCAGACATGTAGTCTCAGCTGTACCACCATACTGAGACACTACAATCCCTGACACACTGGCTGCCAGGACCCTGTTCCTGGGCAGTCTGCACTAAGGGAGGATACACTCATGGCATCCTCCCACTCAAAATAGCCAGGAAAACACATAGCTAGGGTTCAGCAGCACAGCTATGCTGAACCCGAAAGAAGTTGCAACAGCAACTAGAACATGCCAGGCTCTCCAACCTTAGCCAGTTTGCTGCAGGGATTGATGCCCCCCTGCACGGCATCATCCCACTGAAAACCCAAACAAACAAAAGGGAAAAGGAGAGGGAGAGAACAGAGGTCTCAAGCTCTGAGACAGACTTTCTCTCCCTGTACCTGAGGCTTTCCCTTCACATAGCTTCAGTCCGCTTCATCAGTGAAGAGCTGGAGATGACTCCCCCACCATAGGAAGCAGGCTTCAGCAGCCTCAGGAGGAAGAAAAAGAGATCAGACCAGGTGGCCTCAACCTTAAATAACTTTTCTGACCTCATCACAGGGCCCCTCAGTTAAAAGCAGCCTCATTGGAACACTGTTAATGCAGACCAATCAATTCAAAGATGGTCAGCAACCCCTGGTGAAGTGGCCAGAGTTACCAAACTGGTTCCACACGTTCCTTGGAAGGAAGCTTAAGACAAAGGGTCTGGACACAATAAAGGGGGATGGGAGGATGATTCTCTCTAGTCCTAGAGAAAGCAAGATATACAGCACAAGCAAGATACACAACTAGGGCTACCATACATCCGGATTTTCCTGGACATGTCCTCTTTTTTGGACCCCTGTGCTACGTCTGGGCATGTTTTGTAAATAAGAGCAAATGTCCGAGTTTTCCACTCTTCCGGGTTAGCTGTTTGGGGTGGGAGCAGTGGGAAAGGTGATTGGTTGTTGGGGGTCATGTGCTCCCCACTGCAAAGTTGAGGGGAGGGGGAGAGAAAGAAGGTGGGAGCTGCTTGAGCAGCAGGGCTTGGGGGGCAGGGATCTGTGGGTCGGGAGTGAGGGGCACTGGCAAGGCTGGGCGGGGAGAGGTGCAGGGGGCTGTGGGTCTAGAGCAGGGGTGGGCAATTATTTCAGGTGAAGGGCCGCTTACTGAGTTTTGGTAAGCCATCAAGGACCGCATGACAGGCAGCCAGGGGCAGATACATATTAATTTTCTAAATTTGTTAGGGGCTCTGCGGGCCGGATGGAATGGCCTGGCAGGCCACATCCGGCCTGCAGCCCGCATTTTGCCCACTCCTGGTCTAGAGTGAGGGGCACTGGCAGGGATACAGGGGCTGCAGGTAGGGAATGAGGGAGACTAGCAGGGCTGGGGGGGGGGCAGGGAACTATGGATCACAAGTGAGGGGCATGGGGGATGGGATGGGTGACTGTGGGTTGGATGTGCAGGGCACTGGCAGTGGCAGAAGGCTGCGGGTCAGGAGTGAGGGGCACCAGCAAGGGGTGGGGGGCAGGGTACTGCTGTTTGGGAGTGAGGAGCCCTGGCAGGGTTCAGGTCAGTGGGTCCAGGTGAGGGGCAGCAGCAGGGCTGGGGGGTGGGGGGTGGCTTGTCAGTGAGAGGCAACAGAATGGGCAAGGGCAGGGCACTGGCATGTCACCAGGTCAGTGCCTCCCCACCATCATATTCCCCCTACCCCCACCCCCGGTGATAGATGTCTTCTTTTTTGGATCTGGAAACATGGTAACTTTATACACAACAAACTAAAACCAGAACACACTTGACCACACATAGCCCCTCAACCATAGCGCATACTTCAGGGAGAGAAGACACCTGGGAAGAGATGGCATCCACCACACACGGAGAGGTAAGTCCCTTTTCTTGGCCAGGATGGCCGATCTTTTTGATAGGGCTTTAAACTAAGATTGCTGGGAGATGGGGAAACAGACTGGAGCATGGCTGGGGACCAACACACAAGAAAGTTCCATAGATAGGGGCACTAGAAGAACCACTCTTGTGGGAGCTGAGGGAACAGTTTTCCATCAGTGTGACAGGAAGTTGAGGGCCTCAGAAGGAGGACTCAAGTGCCTGTACATTAATGCCAGGAGCACGGGGAACAAGCAGGAGGAGCTGGCCTTCCTACTCTCCAGGGGGCATTATTATCTAGTAGGGATTATGGAGACCTGGTGGGACTCCTCACACAATTGGAGCACAGCCAAAGATGCCTACACCGTGCGTAGAAGGGGCCAACTAGGGAAGAAAGGTGGAGTTGTGGCTCTCAATGTGAAGGAGCAGTACACCTCCTTGGAAGCTGACATAGGCTCCAAAAAAGAACAACTTAAAACCCTCTTGGTCAAACTGTGTGGGGGAGGAGTGAAAGAGACCTAACAGTAGCTGTGTACTACAGACCACCAAACCAAGGGGAGGAACTCGATTTTGAGTTCACCCAAAAACTGACAGAGGCTGCGCATGCATGGGACATGTTCATGATGGGCAACTTCAGTTACTCAGACATCTCTTTGGAGGAACACTTGGCAAAGTCGGATTGGTTATATTCCTTTCTAAACTGCATTGAAGAGCTTTTTTTTACTCAGGAGGTGCGAGGGCCAATGAGAGGTAACGCTCTTCTAGACTTGGTCCTGGCCAAAGGTGACAACCTGGTGACCAACTTAAACATAGAGGGCAGCCTAGGCAACAGCAACCATGAAGCCATCACGTTCACTGTCCATCGCAAGGCAGACAAACCAGATAGCAGGATTGAAGTTTTGGACTTCAAAAACGCAGATTTCTACAAGCTCAGGTCACTAGTAGGGAAAGTGCTGCAGGACCAGGGACTGAAGGCAAAAGGAGTGCATGAAGAGTGGTTGTTCCTTAAGGAAACAATCCTTGAAGCACAAAGGAAGTCTATTTCCATGCAAAGGAAAGGTAGCAAAAGGGCCAGGAAGCCATCTTGGCTAAACAGGGAAATCATGGTCCTCTTAAGAAAGAATAAAGAGGCATACAAACAATGGAAACTTGGGGCATGGCCCAAGGAGGACTATACAACAATAGCCTGCACTTGTAGGGAACAGATAAGAAGGGCTAAGGCAGCAACTAAACTAAAATTAGCAGCAGGGATCAAGGACAACAAGAAGTCCTTCTTTAGGTATATAGGGAACAGGAAGAAAACAAATGGGATCATGGGGCCACTACTCAGCAACTGAGGACAGCTGGTTAAAGGCACTCAGGAGAAAACTAAAGTAAAGGAGTTGCCCGAAATCATAGCAGAACCCCTGGCAAAGCTCTTCCAAAACTCATGACGCTCCAGAGAGGTCCCTGAAAACTGGAAGAGGACCAGTGTTGTGCCCATCTTCAAGAAGGGGAGGAGGGAGGACCCGGGTAATTATAAGCCAATTAGCCTAACTTCTATCCCAGGGAAAATCCTGGAAAAATTCTTCAAGGAGTCTATATGCTATAGGCTTTCAGAAGGTAGGATTCTGAATGACAGCCAGTATGGCTTCGTCGTGGGCATGTCTTACCTTACCAACCTCATCTCCTTCTATGACCAGGTAACGTGCCACCTGGATAAGAGAGAGGAGGTTGACGTTGTAAAAAAAGCTTTTGATCTGGTATCCCACAATGTTCTTATGAGAAAATTGGAAGATCATGGGTTTAACTGTGAGACAGTTAGGTGGGTAGGAAGATAGCTACGGGGTAGGACCCAGAGAGTTCTACTGAACGGATCTGTGTCGTCTTGGCAAGAAGTGGCCAGTGGTGTCCCTCAAGGGTCAGTGATTGGTCCAGTGCTTTTTAACATCTTCATCAATGATTTGGATGTGGGGGTCAAGAGCTCACTGGCCAAGTTCGTGAACAATGCCAAGTTATGGGGAAGCATGATCATGCTTGAAGATAGACTGCAGATACAGGTGGACCTAGACAGGCTGGCAAGTTAGGTGCATGGGAACCAAATGAGGTTTAACATCGAGAAATGTAAAGTGCTCCACCAGATACCAAAACAATCCTCTGCATTCCTACAGGATTGGCAACACCAATCTGACCAGCACTATAAAAGAGAGAGACCTGGGGGTAATAATATACCACCGTATGAACATGAGCCAGCAGTGCGACACTGTAGCCAACAGGGAAAATAATACTCTGGCATGCATCAATCAGTGCATCTCCAGCAAAACCAGGGAAGTGATTCTTCCACTCTACTCGCCATTGGTGAGACCGCAGATAGAGTATTGCATCCAGTTCTGGGTGCCGCGCTTCAACAAGGACGTGGAAAAGCTTGAGAGAGTCCAGAGAAAGGCCACCTGTATGATCAGAAACTTCCACAGCAAACCATATGAGAGAAGGCTGAGAGGGGACTTGGTAGCAGCTTACTGCTACATCAGGAACTTACATCAAGGGCTCGGTGAACAACTGTTCACCAGGGCACTCTTAGGGAAAACCAGGAGTAATGACCACAAACTCCTGGAAGACTGCTTCAGGCTCAACATTAGGAAAAACTTCTTCACAGCTAGGGTGTCCAGACTGTGGAATAAGCTCTCTCCAGAAGTGGTGCAATTGCTTACCCTGGAAATCTTCAAGAGGGAATTAGATGGTCACCTTGCTGGGGTCACTGAACCCCAATTGTCTTTCCTGCTTGGTGCAGGGGGGCTGGACCTGATGATCTTCTGAGGTCCCTTCCAGCCTACGTTCTATTAATCTGTGAACCCCAAGTGTGGGTGTTACATTGGGAATAGCTGCTGCAGATGCTGGCTATCTGGGTCACCAAACTTATGCAGGGGAGATTAGACAGAGAGCCCTGATCTCCAAAGTTTGTCCTAGCAAACCTGAAACAAGTGACAACATCCCAGATTGGGGCAGCCCTGACTCCTGGCTTCATCATTGTTGGATACAGTGTGCCCTACCCACCCCACCCCTCCTCCCAAAGTTCAGCTTCCTCTCAGTGGAAATTATGGTTTTTAAAAGATTTCTGTTTAGCTACCTGACACTCCTACACAAATTCATGTGAGCATTAGCTGGAAATATTGGAGATCAAGTATCATGCAGCAGGCACATGTGCACCTTGTGTTTAGCTGATTTATGCTGCAGGCATGGCAAAAAGGATGGCTCAGAGCCTCTGGAAAGCTCAAGGAAAGTCCACAATTCGTAGCCTGAATGATATTTTACAGTGATGGATGCCCAAGTCCTTGTCACACCATTTAGTTATCTTCCATACATCCATGCTGCTGTGTTTTGTTGTATTGTATGATGGCACTTCACATGCCATATGCATGCAGAGCACCAGCAGTACTTGGAAGGTCAGGGGCAGTCTAGGGAAACACAAGGCTTTGCTGGAAAGCCAAATTTGTGTTCTTCATTCAGTCAGAGGTCTGCCTAAGGTATTTAGTTATTTTCCTGGGGGCCTCCCACCTTTAGGTGGCGGAGGAGAGGGAGGGCATTCAAGGATCCACATGCAACCCATGGGCTGAAACTTTTCTGCCCCCAGCATTTTTTAATT